ACATTACTAATCCTGTGATATCTCTCACCCTGACTCCACTAGTATTTTCACTTGGAACACAAAGGTACAACTTGAAAAACTCTGTTTAACCTACTCTATAAAAGTACTGCAGTATAAATACATACGTACATGTACAAGTACATCACATTTAAATAAAAGGTAACAGGAAAGTTGAGTGAAAGAAGGAAATTACCGGGTATCTGTGAAAACTTGTCTGATTGGAAAGAAATATGGAGAAAAAGGTACGATAAAAAGGACCCCAAAGTGTGCAAAATCTTGAAACAATCATGCAATCCAAAGTTTGTGTTGGTTAATCCATTATGTAAACCATTGTCTGATGACTTTCAGCTGTCCACAGTCTTGGTCACAGACTCACCCAAGCGTTTGCCCTCCTCTTCTGAGAATGCTATGTCCATTACCAGGACACCAAGCATGTACTGGAAAGATCGGTGCATGGTGTTAGGGTCATGGGGAACTTTGGCCGAGAAGACAATCCAATCCGCATAGATGCCTCTCTTGGTGGCTTCATCAAAATCTCGCACCTTGTCACAGGCATGAGGGCCACGAGGCTGAAACCACTTCTTCAGGTTGAAGGAAGGGTCAATGCACTTTGTTGTCAAGATGTTGTGAGCGCTCGAAGGTGCTGGTGCTGCCAAAACATTTGGGGTTTTAAATGTAAGTACATGTAACAGTAAGGGAGAAAAGTAGCAATCATTCCAAGATGTGACAAGTTACACGTACCGGCAGCAGGAAATTTGATGGAATATAAATTATACATGTAAGTACTGGACATGAATTTGAACAGCACAAGTGCAATTTTTAAACATTTCAAATCCTACCGGTAAATGTACATGTACATCTGGAGAACTTAATCCATGCGGAGTCACACTTTGATTGTTACTTGCATACATGTACATGTATCGGTACGTATGAACACAGGTTTGAAAAGGCCTCCATGTACATACATGATACCGGTACATGACATGTGTTGTGTGAGATCCATGAGTAGCAGAGGAAGCATACAAGTACATGTACCGATACATGTATGTACAGTATACATGGAGGCCTATCCACTAAGCTTTCATTTCTATTTTATTTTTCAGGACCAACATTTCATGGAATACAATAACAAAGTTTACAAGAGGGAGAGAGAATACACAAGACATACAGAAGACAAATAAACAGTATTTAACCAGTTCCCGCTGGATTACCCAAAAGAAACATGGTTTCTGTCGAGGGGTTTTCCAACTGGTTAAAGAGGAAACAATAAGAACAATAATAAATATAGATCGATACATAAATTGATATGACTTTTATGGCAGTATCATAAACTATAACTTAAAATAACTTATACTTAAATAAAGAAATGATGTGGGAAAAAATGTATCCCACTTATTTTGTAGAGCTGTACTTGTATTAACATTATTATGAAAAACAAAATAACAAACTAACCCCCATCAAAAACAAAGATAAAACAAAAACCTAAACCAAAATAAAAACAAAACAAAACACCAAAGGGGAAGGGGCAGCTGCAAGCCTGCAACTCCCATCTGGGCTAAAACTTAAGCTGGGCAACTTTCAGTGGGAATATAATTCATGATGGCAATAAGTTGTCTAAATGGCATGGGAGGTACATGTACATGTAGGGTCTCGGTGAAAGAGGTGATCACATAAAGAATTAAGGAAGTATTGGAGAAGAAAGCAGCGTACAAGAAACGTTTGCATTCAAACTGTCAGTTCTGTCTTATCTAAAACTGGTTATCAATTACATTTACGCACAAACTGAAATCCCTGTAACCTGGTTTCTATAATTAATTTCCCGACAAAAACTTTTTTTAATCTTTCTATTTCATTGTTTCTTATTGTCCACAAATTTAAGGAATTTTAAAGTTGATTATGAATACCAGTCTAATGAGTCTATGATATAAATTTACATGTGGAACCAGCTCTTAATATTGATAACAGAACTTTGAGCAGCGGCTGTCGTGTGCATGGGTACTGATAAAATCTGATTCAAAAAGTCATGGCAAAATTCACGTGCAGCGCGTATGTTTTTTGGCGTAGAGCAAAATGAAACGCTTATTTATTGATTGTGTGTTCAGGTTGTTTGCGTATCAGCTTTGTCGAAGTATTGTTTTAGAATCCAGATGCAATAGCCACACAAAAACTGTACAAAATGTCCACTTTTCCATAGGTTTGTGCACAAACATGAATGGGCCCAGCAGGCATCACTTTGTACACGAGTCAGCATTGTAGTTTTTAAATCTTGATCTATGGTCCACACCCATGTCATAACATACGAGTACATACCTACATTTAATTTGTATACCAAACCATTCCACTTGTAAACACACTGCCTGTAGAAGTCCAAGCCCTGAGTTTGTAAACATGAACCAAGGCTGGGCTTGGGTGCACCTCAGAGCTAATTACTGTGTACAGTACATCATGTACATACATGTACATGTACATTAACATCCAAGCTCAATGGTTGTCCTGACCAAGGACCCTCTTTCCTCCATGTCCTGACTACATGTAGCTGTACCAAGACTCACAGCAGGGTACCTCTTGCCTTGATTTAATCTAATCAGATTGCTGGCAAGATCAGTCCCTTGCCTGTGTTCTTTCTCTTGGTGTATTTATTTAATGGGTGTTCCTGGCACAGTGACTGCCTCACATACCCCTGGGTAATTGGTTACAGAAAAGAGCTGACCACATGGGGTCATTTCAGGTCGACCATAGGTCAACATACTCAAGAAATCTTCAAAAGAACAGAATAAATGTGGTGTGACAGCTCAATACATTGTCACTAAATATGCAGAGACAAAATGTGGAACAAAAAATTTTATCACTTCAAGATCAAATTATTTATAAGCAGTAAATGTGTTCATTGAAGTGTTTGGCAGAGGGGATAGCAACTTGTACAGTAGCTTCCTGTTACATTGCATTTGCATTACATGTGCAGACACATACTGTATACTTTGGTTAGGAAGCATTTATACACAGGAACCCATTGAAAATTTTGCGACAAAATTGGGAATCTCCCATCCAGAAAACAGCCAATCAGGGGCTGCAAAATGTTGACCAATGGCAAAGACGGTTTAGAGCGGCAACCACCCAATCAGAGATTTTGATTTTAGATACTTGGCAAGGCCTGGCCAGAAGCCAATGAGAAGTTGGGTTGGTTCTTTTCTCTTTGGGGTTAGAACTTTGGGTGTGAAGGAAAAATTGTCGTGTTGTCACTTTTGTCTCAGCTTATGAAGGAGCAACAGCTTTAGTCAGATTCTTCTACAAGTTTTTCCCATCATCTTCTCCTTCCCATGGCTAATGAATGATTTGTTACTCTTGACATTATGAAATTTTAAATAATATGTACATGTGGATGAGATCAAGTTCTTTGTGATGCATTATGTCATTAACTCGATGGAGTAACTAGTGTCTAATGGTGGCTGTAACTACTGTATGTCTTCCCTTGAGTAGTGCAACAGGGGAGGATAAACCATTCTTTCTTCTATAAGTGCAAATGAAGAAAGAATAGTGTCGGTAAACTCATTTGTTGACTTTGCATATGTATGTACAGTGTACATAATAATTATTACGGCTTGGTGAAGTTAGTTCTGTCACTGTCCTAATGAATCATCAGCCTATCATAATGTCATTGTAATTGAGCTGTGGTGCTCCAAGTCAAATGGTGCTTGGAGCTGTTGGTTCTCTTTGGCCTTGGTGGAAGCCCAAACAGTGAATAACGATGAACATGGCATTCCAGGTCAAATGGTGCTTGGAACTATGTTTCTGGGCCTTTGTGGATGCCCAAAGAATGGATAATGTGTCGCATGCAAGATAAGTCGGCTGCCCAGATTTCGGTGCCTGACACATCAATATGATGAATAAATTCCTTCTGGCAGAGGCGAGCACACACACCAGTATTTTTGTCTTTGTTTGTTTCATGTTGTCTGTTTATAAGATTATAAAGTGCTTCTGGTATCAGTTTAAAACCGGGAAACTACTGGATTGAGGAATAACAAAAAAATATAAGTTAAAGGTTTTAAAGGACTTTCAAATCATATAAAGCCCACATACACATACCGGTAGGAAAGAATTTACTGTTTTGTAACTTTCAACTTGAAAACTGTAAACAAAATAGAATATTTATTTTCTGAAGGCAAACTTCACTACAAGTTTGCAATTATTTCAAAGTTGAATGCATACAGTACATTCGTGTAGATCTCAATCCACAAAGAATTCTTCGCACTAAAACAGTCATGAAAAGGTCCTATATTTCTGAGCAGTACTGTACATCCATGTAGATCTCACGTGATGTACTTGAACAAGTGCATAGATTGTACATGGAATACATGTATACTTGTATCAGTACTAGAAGAGTGTTTCTTATAGTTTGGAATTAAGATCCTCAATTTCATGGCATAAATATTATCACATTGAGTTTATTTCAGAAAAGATTGGTTATGGTGAAAAAAAACAGAGAGTAAGCACTAAGTCTTAACAAAACAGTTTACAGATTCATCAAGCAGACATCCCCTGTACCATAAGCCATGAACATGTACATGCAGGCCCTACATATATAACATAAAACTGCTTGGTTTATAGTGGCATAAAAATACCCATGTCTAGCGAATGAATCAAGATTTTTTATTTCATACCAGCAGCAACACGCAATTATCTTGAATTTCATGGCCCACTCCAGAGGTAACATTATAAACAAGATGTACATGATTGACGACAGTAATCTAGAAAGCTATCTCAGCCGCAGAAGGGCATGTTAGCACTTCCCAGGCAGAGCAGCTAATATCACCAAGAATGCGAGGAGGCACTCCAAACTAAGGGATTGCTTGCATCTTCCAGGGATCAATCTGACTTGGCAAGAGGTGCTCACAATGTGCAGAGAGTATGCATTCTGGTACATGTATGAATGCATACAATGTTAACCCACGATTGGTGAGTAGATGCACCTGCCTAAGGAATGAATGCATTCTTACTATTCACAAAATGATCAAAGACATCTTAAAAATACTTTAACTGAACAACATGTACTACAAGTACTGTATGGGTACCCTAGTCACATTTTAATGTTTCTCCTAAAAGTTGCCATTGAAATTGTTATAACAAATTTCTTCTTTTACAAATGTTGCAGTGCAGGTTCTTTAATTGTACTGTGAATTTCTGTATTTGAATGGTGTCTTCACGTCATGATTTGACAGCTCAAAATATGCACCTACATGCACTTTCTAAAAGAGATGATTCTGTCAATCTACTGAGTGTCTTTGAAGGGGAAAATGCCTAGCATTTTCCAGACAATTTTAAAGGGTGTCCCTTATTCCTGAGTATCATCTCATTCAGGGAAGTTGACACACAGTCTGTGCAAATACAGTTTAAAAGCCTCACAAACATCACCTAGACTGAAGAGATGTGGCATCTTATGAATAATGTACATGTACACCAAACTGCGTCTGTAATGAATTTGAAATACTAAACATTCTCAAGCTCACCAGGAACACAAAAATGAATGCCGGAATGCATGGCATACTTTTCAATTTCAACTCTATTTCACAATTTCAACTCGACTGAACTAAATTTATTGCTCTTACAAAATCAATTTTGGTCTTGGTAATACACGTACATGTACCGGTAGGCCCAACATGTACAGTTGCACACTGTACGGAGATGGGTGAGCTTTGAGCAAACCCAATCCTGCAAACAATTCAACATTTGGCATCAGAATTTCAAAAAATTTTGAAAACAGGGCGTCTACATGTATTTTGCTAACCATTAGGCTGTTCATTTGCGTGACAAAATACAGTACATAAAATAACCTATAGGTTGAACATGCCCAGACAGCAGACATTCCTTCGGGAATATTTCTCTGCAAACTGCTTTTAGGAAAACCAAATTCTTGCAACCTGCAATGTACATGTACCACAGACACATAGTTTACAACTTTGTCAGCAAAGAGTAAGGAGTTTTTGCTTGAAGGCACTTCTCAACATGCTTCATTAGCTGATCTTTTTTTCAGTAGACCTGCATGTAAAGTACAGGTATATTGTATGTGATAAAATCTTCAACAGAGCTGCTCCATGTCACTGTAAATCTTGTTACTGACACAGCTGACAACAAAGAAACCACAAGTACTTTTCAGTTAAGGGGAAATCCTTTTGCCTGTTCACCATAAACCTGTTTGCTTCACTCCCAAGTTGCTACAATAAACCAACAGCTTGACCTTTGTGACCTCATGGTGTGCAGGGTGATTCACAGTACTACAATACTTAGCACTTTACAGCCAGACCACACTCAATGGATTGGAAGGATAAGAGGTCCCATGGAGTTGGCAGACTGGCCTAATAATAAATTCCTGAGTGTTTTGTAATGGAGGTGATGTACTAATACACTGCAGATGGGTTTATGTATGTGGGAAATTACATACATGTGCTCATGGCTTTTGTTCTGAGAGAGATTTCTTGGACTTGTTAACAATCTGGACAAAACTTATGAATGAAAATAGTGGTTGTTCATTCAAGAAGGGCACCTGCATGTACTTCCTGCTTTACCAACCAACTAAGGTACATGATCATGTATGGCATGCTTCTGAAAATACTGGGATCTGGTACTGTGCTCGCATTGTAGGTTGTGGAGAGGAAATTCCAGGGACAAAAAGGAAGCTTCATCCTAGCTCATGTATATTCAGGGTTTAGGAGGACAGAGTAAAGCAATAGGTTTGAAATAGTACGTACTACCATGAAACATAACACCTTAAAAATAATGATTTCTTTGAGATTTAATGAAATAAACACAATATATCCCTATAAACCATGAAGAATCAATGGAAGACTTAGTAATATATATACATGAAAACTTGAAAAATGTACTAAAATTTTGTAAATTTTCTCATTTAAATTACAAACAAAACCAAAAACCCTCTAAACATCAAGCTAAAACCCCTTTAAAGATGCCTCATAATGATAATAATAATTCTGTTTTATTTCAACAGGGTAGCCTTGTCAGTAAAGGGCCCTGATAAAATTTCGAAAGAAATCAATAGAAATGAATTTAAAACAATTTAAAACAGATATTAAGTTAATAAAAAAGAAAAATTAACAGAAACTGAATAGCAGTCAAAAAACACAGGATTTCTATAAAAAGTTACATTAAGCCTCAAAATGAAATCATGGGAGGAACTGAAACATACATGAATGCTCCACTACATGTATATCACGGGATAGTACAATGTAGATTTGGGGACTTTATTCCTACATTTTAGCTTTTGGATTCATCTTGGTAGATGACTATGACATCATGCTCAATAACTGTCATGACTGTAGGATTGACGTTTTGTGAAAAGGGGGCAGGGTTTGGCATTTTTAGGGAATTATGAGGGGAGAAACTTTGAGTGTTTAAACACGACACATGGTGGATTCAAATTTGCATTAGAAGCCAAATACTGCATGGGTGATTTTGCACAATGGTAGAAAGGCATTGTGGGAAGGAAAAGGGAGAAAACATTGCTGCTTTTTCCTTCCCACAATGCCTTTCTACCATTGTGCAAGTATTTGCCATAAGGCTTATGGCTCATTTATCAGTTAACATGGTTAAAGAAAGTCAGATTTTCTCACAATTCACAGTTGAAAATTTCCCCAAAATAGAGTCAGCGTAATAAAGAAAGCACTGCCTTTGGTTTTTTAAAAGGCTGACCAGTTTTACAATGACAAAAAACTGGAGGTCCTCAAGTATCAATCCCCCTACACTGTCACGGTCATTAGCCTCAGGCTCAGTCTTGGCACTGACTATTAAAAAAGGGTAGAATTCAGAATTAACTTGTTAAATTTGAATGCTTATCTGTATTGATTATCACACCTGGGCAATTATGACCATTTCATCTAGGCCTAGGCAAACTTACTTAGCACTGCTCAGCTACGTCAGCCTGTTTTATCATACAGTGCACTTAGATTTTGATTCTGTTACGTCACAAGACATGGCTACAGTGGAATGTTGCTGTAACAAACACGACGGGGTCCACACTAATTGTTCGGTACTGCGGTTATTTGGTATAGCGAAATTAACTGCCAAACATTTCATTGCCATGTTCAATAGTACCTCTCTTGTCTAACCAAAGTGCACCCTCTTGTGATATGATTCACAGTTTCTGTGATGTTTCGCCGTTGAATTCACGTTTGAAGTTTCAAGAAATTGTATCTGTTACTCAGTTTTGTTTTTTATCAAATCTTGAGTTACAAAATTGGTATTTAGTTTATCCTAAAAGTCGTGAAGATACCGCTTAGGATCGATCTCTGGTGCAGGCTTAGGTGAATCTCGGTTGATTTGCAACTGCATAATGTTCGTACTGGATTTTGTCATGTTTGTGCACAAAATATTGGGAGCCAAGGACAATGTTCGGATATAGGACCTACAGCCGAATGTTCGGCATAGCGGTGTTTGGTATAGCGACGTTCCACTGTATTCAACTCTCTGCAAAAAGAGTACACTGATCTCTGTTTCCGTAAGCTCATTTCAGCCATGGTCTTCCCTAAATGAAACACTTAAGTGAGAAATGGCAGTAAATTCTTCGACTAATCTTACCGATAAGTCCTCCGACGAGAAAGCAAGCGATCTGCACCACCAAGAGACACAGACAAAAAACAGACAGCTTTTTCGAGCTCAAATTTTCCAAAACAGCTCCCGCCATGGTCCTCAGAGAGACCCCAACAACTCCTTGCAACAGAGATCCACGAAATGACGGCAGAAGCCGAAAATTTTCTGGATTTCAAGCAGAAACTGCAGACTTCTTGCAGACGTCAAGTTCACCCGTCAACGTCTCCAGCGTGTCTCTAGTCGAGTCGTCTGCGTCCTTTTCTTTCTTCAGCTTTGCGGGGGGTCACCGGAAGTTGTAACAAAGTTTTCAACAAGTCTGGAAAGTTGCGCCCTCTGCTGTTGAGAACTGTCATAATTTGTTGTGGTTTTGTAGATTATTTTTTGTAATAAATTGTAGATTAATACGTACAAAATCATTGGACACCATGTTCTTGCCAATGACGAATACTTTTCAGTAACACCACCTTTACGTTTATGCAGTTTGTAGTGCACGATGCTGGCATGGAGGTTCCGCACCTCCATAATGCCAAAAGGTAAACAAGTGACACAAAGGAGCAGATAAGGTCCCGAGATAGGACCAGCAACATGCACTCGAAATGAGAAATGCAGCACTTGATAACAAGTACAAACAGGATGTTTAACAATAGGTACATGTGCTATACTGTCAAAATGGCTTCGACTGACAGATTAAAAATGACAAGGGTTTTTCAGATAATTTTTTTGGGGGGATCCAGATTTGACTAAGGAAGTGGTTAATGGAGGGGGGGGGGTTACAGGCTTTCCTTTTGTCCCGTCTGTTATTGGCCTGTCTTTCTACATGGGTCCATACAGTGATGGTCCTGTATCTAGTCACACACCCGTCTGTTATTGGCCTGTCTTTCTACATGGGTCCATACAGTGATGGTCCTGTATCTAGTCACACACCCGTCTGTTATTGGCCTGTCTTTCTACATGGGTCCATACAGTGATGGTCCTGTATCTAGTCACACACCCGTCTGTTATTGGCCTGTCTTTCTACATGGGTCCATACAGTGATGGTCCTGTATCTAGTCACACACCCGTCTGTTACTGGCTTGTCTTTCTAGTATTCTACATGGGTCCACACCTACCCAGCAAGAAATGAGACCGAGGGGTACCCCCCCAACATGTCCAATCCCTATACACATTCCAGACTATTGTTACTTAGCACATCCCCCAAGATGTCTGAAAGGAATTCCCCAGATTCCTGCGACCAATGACCAACACAAAGCAGGGGGGGTTCTCTTCGTCTCATAGTGTGTCTTTCTACATGGGTCCACACAGTGATGGTCCTGTATCTAGTCACACACCTTTCTGTTATAGGCATGTCTTTCTACTTGGGTCCACACAGAGATTGTCCTGTGTCTAGTCACACAGCGATATGTCTATTCCTATGGTGGCCAGGGCAACAGTCGTTCTAAAGTTTGCATAAAACTGCTATTTACAGGCTGATGTCTGGCAAATCTCAATTAAGTATGCATTTCATTGGAATCTGCAATTCATACAGGCTAAATGTTATGCAATGTTTATCTTGTGAACACCTTCAGATGTCAAGTTCATTATTTAGCACTCAAGTTTAAAAGATTTACATGCAAAAGAACATTTGCTGGCAAAAGTAAAAATCTACAATTCACTTTTGACAAGATCCTTGTTTAAACTGAGATATTTGGTTTTGTTCCAAGATTATTAGTTCCAGCATTATAACCTATTCATAAAGACGTAAGATAGTTTAGCCATTCCTCTTGGTCAAGACCCCTTCATGTAGCTGGTCATGATAAAGCACCTATTGGCTATGCACCACCTCATGCAGTAGGCATCACGTGCGCACCAATCTCTATACCAAGAGACTTAATGTGATTGCTTGTAAGAGGAACATACATGTACTACGGCATGGCTAGAAAGAGTTTCAAAAATGAAGTAAAATTGTTTCAACAATTCATTGGAAATTTATATTTTTTGAATTTGTTTTCATGAGTGGGAGTAAATGAGCGTATTTGGAACCCTGTTCTTGTGTTAGATGAATACGAGAACGGGGATATGAACAAGGAGAATCAATACACGAACATTGTTCGCAAACAAGATTCTCACTCCCCGGAGAGTGGGGAGTGGATGAAAACATCAAGAACAAAGATGGCGGATATAGGCACATACCGTAACCTAATGTTGGCTTTGTTGCATAAAATAGAAAACACTCACAATAAGGAAAATAAAACCCTGGGCAAATACTCATGGCTATTGGAGCAAATTTACCCTGACCATTTAATATGAATATTTAGGGATTTTAGTTTATGTGAGATGGCAAATGTCATGCCATTTTTTTTATTTGGTGTCAAAATGGCGACTGCCATCTTCATCGCAGCTGCACTTCTTTTGCACTTCGGCGTTGGTAATCAATGACCCAAGAACACTGTTCATGAGTCTCATAAGAATAGGATTCCAAATACACCCAATATGTGTGTGATCGTTTAAGGATATGGACGCTAATGATACCTGTACTTACTCGTATCCCCCCATGAAACAATCATACCTATTAAAACACCAATTAACAAGAAGTTCTTAAATGTCTTCTAAACTTTTGATGATTGCCCATTCATTTTCTTGCCAAAAAACAGACTACTGTTGGTAATCCCATTAACTGTAGCATGGTTGGTAACTAACATGCCATGCAAACTAAATTGATGAGCTAAGTGCTCTATGGATCTTGGTTCTGTTTGCGATGTTTCTTTGCTTCCAATTCTCTCAGGTATTTCATCCTGAATACATGCTTTTTAGGATTGATTCCATACGCCTTGAGTCTGGCATCTGAGACAGTCGGTCTTGTTGCACCTTGTGCTCCTTGCACTTTCCTTGCAAGTTTCCTGTTGCGGTTTTTGTTACGTGTCCTGTTACTCTTGGATTTGCTGCTAGTGGGGCTAACTACTGAAGGCCGGTGAATGTTTACTTTCCTTTTTGTCCGCCGTTTCTTCTTGGGCAATGGGGATGCCACTGATGCAGGCTGAACTTTCTGTGGGGAATCTTTGCATTCTGCCGTGGGGAGTTTCTTAGATGCCTGTTTGATCCTAGCTGATTCTGTTGACAGGCGTTGCTGTTTGAATTTTACCTTCACACATGCAAAGTCCAACTTTTTAACTGGAGATGTTCCTGTCAACAGCTTCATTGGGTCAGGGTGAAGACCTTTAGGGTCACTGCCTTGAGTTGCTTTACTGCTCTGGTTTAGCTTTGGATTCAAGTCAAGTTTCTGATCACTACTTTCCAATTTCTTTTTCTTCTTTTTGGAGGTAGTCCTGCCTGCTGTGGAAGATGAGCCAGTACTAATACTTACTTGGTTTTTAACATCCACATCTGATTCATGTGGGACTAATTCTATTTTTCTCTGGTCAGAATCATTTTGAACTTTTCCTATTTTACCCTTCCGTTTCTTTTTCTCTGTCCTATTCGTGTCATCATCAGTTTTGGTAGCAGAAGTGGGATCCACATGCAATGCATTACTTTTCTTAATGGTAGATGAATCTGATAGGCCCGACATTTCACGAGTGTAAACATCAATGACTGGTCCTTTAGGACTGTCTTCAGTGTGGCTTCTCTTCCATTTCTGTTTCTTCTTTGGAAGTTGTTTAGCATCTGTCTCTTCTCCTTCCACATCTCTTTTAACTTCTTGTTTACCTTCCCCTGTTTTCACAACCACTTGCTGGTGTTTTATGGAAGTGCTGAATCCCCTGTTTGCTTTGTTCCTTTTCTCAGTGGTACCTCTGGACTTGGATTCCATTGGCTCCGGTTCAGCTTCCTTTGGTGCCTGTTTTTTCTTTTTCAGTTTGTTCTTCGTCAGTGAAGATTTTTCATGGTTTATTGGATCTTGAATTCCATTTGAATTTGTTTCTGATTTGAGCGTACCTTCATGGTTATTACCAATGGATATGCCACTGTTTTTGACTGCAGATGAGTTTGTTTTTACCTTTCCCCAATGACTTGTCTCAAGTAAGGCAGGAGTAGTTGAATCCTTGGGAGGTTTCTTTCCCCATTTTTCTGTTTTGGAAGAGGGTAATTTATTGGAAGAGTTGGAGGCCTTTGATTTCTTTGGTTTTGCTTCATCTCCACTGTGTTCACTATCACTCCTTAATCGAAACAAAAAAACAAACCAAGGTTCAATTTTCAAGTAAGAGAAGATTTTGCCCTGACAAACTACGGAAACTATGGGATTTCTGAGCTATTTAGTGGCATGCTTGCAGTCAGTTTATAGGACAATGCCATAAAATAATTACATCTTCAAAATTAAAATTATCAAATGAGACAGATTAAATGGACTGATGTTCTTCATAAATTTTGAAATAAGACTGAACAGAGACTTAAAACTGTAAAATCAGCTTAAAATTTTTTTTCCTGTTTGAAAATGTTTGCTTGAGTGGGATTTGAACCCTCACCTCAAATTACCAGTCAAGACTGGTAACACTTGATCATAATTATAGCAATGAGAGCAACAATTGATGCCTGAATAGAAGGGATGGTTCAAGTCCCACCTGTCTTGTTAACTTCTACTCACAAGCTCTGAGTACTTATGAAATTTCATTCATGAAAATAAGCAGCATTAAGATTTACATTAAAGAAATTTCATCACTTGTAGGTTAAAGTTACTTACGGATTCTCCAAGAGACTGAGGAAGATGCGTTGCTTCTTGGCAACATTTTTGGCTTTTTTGGCAAAGATCCTTCTGTCCATCTCTTCTTCTTCCTCCGTCCTATTGAAAATGAAAATATAATTTACAGTTAGCAGTATATCACTATATCTCTGATTTATTGCTCCGACGCTTATCCAAAGTTTCCACAACAGAACTGTACAATTCTTGAGTACTATTCCATCTGCTACCATTCTCTTTTGGCTGACACTCACCTGTACTGGCAAGTCTTCTTAAGTGAAGCCCACTGGTTTAACTCTCGCTCCTTAGCAGAGAGAATCTCTTCAGTTGTCAATCCGAAGTCATTGGGGATGACTTTGCGATACTTGAAGCGACAAGGCAGGTCATCAATCATATCCTCATAGTCTAGCTTGTAGAATTCTTCGATATAGTCCTCGTATGTTTTTTCATCTGTTGGACAATGTTGTTTAAGACAACGTTCATGACCAATCAAGGGGACCTTTATTTGACCTTGTGCAAAACTCTTTGTATGCAATCCGTCCTGTGAGGGTGCTTCCTGTTCAAAGGTTGTGTGTTGTCTAACATATGTACCACTGCAACCTGTCTAATTAGTATACATTTGCAGAACAATATCTGTGGTCTGTTGATTCTTAAATACAAAAATCTTGTTTTATACAAGAGTTTGAAACACGTATGCTTCAGAGAAGAAACATGGGTAAGATAGAGGTATCTTTGGGTAGGTGGTATGGATCAGCCTCTTTTTCATTTGAATATCAAGGCCCCTTTGAGAAACCTGTAGGTACCAAAAGATATCATATCAAATGAGGTGCAACTCACTTGGATTAAAGACAGGTTTCTTGGCGTTCACAACCTCAGCAAATTTAGACATTCTCTTTTTCTTCTTCTTCTTGGATGATCCAATCAGTTCTTGCTCCAAGGCAATCTTCCGTTCCTTGTTAGCTTGCTTTGAGAGGGATGGGTCATAGTCGGCATCCATCTATAAAAACAAGGTGTACAGTGGATAAGACATCTGTATGAAGTACATTGTAGGACATTGTGGGTTCAAATTCCAACCGAGGAATTTGTGAGATTTTCCCTGGAGCATTTTCACTGCTGCAAGCTACATCCTTCAGTGGAAGAATGAATAAAACGGCAGGCACACTTTCGTACACAAAAAGTTGCATTCTACTGTACCACAAAGCACAAGGTATTGTTTTTCCTAACACTATTGCTATGGACTCCGAGCTGGACCAAGAGAGGGCGCTATTTTCTTTGCAACTGACCCTACTTTGGTAGTAACTGTGCATCGCTGGTTCATAAACGACTACAAAATGCAAACGTTCCAGTCGCATCGCTTCCAAAAAAATGAACAGTCCCAACCGACACTCTCATCGGTTTAAAACATTCCATATACACTAGGCAAAGGCATGTACCACAGTGGGCAGAATTGACCAATGACAAGACAAATTTTCTGTTCCATTTGTATGTCTGTCCTCTATGGTAAAGTGCGACACCTACATTTATCCAAACAATATTGACAAGCTCATTCTGAACATAACATTCCAATTGTGACCACCAGAGGCAGGCAGTATGCATGGCAGTCTAGCATACTATAGTTTACTCACAATAAAATCTGGATCATCACAGTGTGGCTCTTTGTAATCATCTTGGTAATATTCCTCTTTTTCGTAGTCTCGTCCATCCCATGCATCCCAATTCTCTGCAAACAACAGGTGAAATTGTTCACATTGGAAAACAAAACAATGGAGTGAATCAGAATCAAGAAAATGCTTTACAGTAAAGTAGGACTCCACTCTAACAACTAGGAACTCATTTATCTACAATTTCTTGCTTTTTTCGTTTGTATCCTGTACACAGATTTCTGTCTTCAGGGTTCTGCACAGCTTACAGCAGATCTGTCACCTCCATCTATTAGAGATTATGAGATATTTTGGGATGTAATAAGTTACATTGTCTGCTCCTAACCACAGTCACAGAATATTGCATTGTTGGAGGATCACCTATTTGACAACACTGACATTTGTTTCTGCCAACCTTAGGAGTAGACTACGATCCTGTTTAACACCTCCCTGCATTTAATGCACCACTTTTAGGCACAATACAAACTAGTAAAGGATATCATCATTGACAGCAGAGGGTACCCTTTTAGCCTACTTGTAAAAAAACCTAAACAAGGACGCATGTTACTTCTTGAATACAAAACCGATATTGTTTTTCAGGTTGAAAGCAATTTTGGACATACCTTCTTCCCAGTCTTCATGCTCAAACTCTGGCTTTGTGTCTTCCTCAGGCAACAAGTCATACTGCTCATTGAAAACTTTCTGCAAGGCAAAAAAGCAATTAAATTTGCTGACTTTCATTTGGCAAAGGCATTTATATCAAGATGAAGGTTGGCTGGACAAAAATAATTTGGGATGATCACTCACTTTCATGGCGTTATCATGCTCTTCTGGGTCAAAGTCTCCTTCAAGGTCAATATCCTCAAAGCCAACAGTGGCATTGCCAGTCACTTGGCGTAGCTTCTCCAATTTGTCCAGGATTTCCTGTTTCTTGAGGTTCTTCAGCTGTTTGAGATCTTCCTGCTTTCGTTTCTTCTCCTGTAAGAGCGGGATCATTAGTTGACAAAGTGAGCAAAGTTGGCATAGTAATTCTGTCATGTCGTGTGATATCTAAGCTAAAGCACCAAGATTCAAGGCAGACGACATCAGCTTGGGTGGCTAAATTCAAGAGAATCAAGCTGAGAGAAAAAGAAGGAATAAGTTAAGGTTAAGAAAATCCCTTTGCTTACATACAGTACAAGACCATAGCACCTGTGCATAAGAAGAATACACACAAGCATGATTGTGTCTTTAAGAATTCTACCTTACCTGTTGCTTTCTCTCTTTCCGGTCTTGCCTCTTGAGGGCTCTCTTGTTGTCCTTGGCACGCACTGAACTAGCCATTGTCCGTGGGTAACGTTTGATCTAAAAACAAGTGAAAGTGATAATATAGCTACCAAAGAGGTTTATTAAGTGGCTGTGAATAACTTTGGTCATGAATTATTCAGAGAAATCAATTCTGTTAAAAGTTTTGGTTACTTTAACTAGGGTGTCGAAGTTATGGAAGTACAAAGCCATACTGTTGAGATTTTATCAGGCATCACTTACAAATTCTGAATCAGGTTCCTCAAAGCGGAAGTTGTATTTCCTCTCAAATTCATCCTGGGCATCTAGAAGTCGTTCCTCCTCGGAGAAATCTGCCTCTTCTAGCTCAGTGGCTGGGTCATCTCTGGGAAGAATGAGAAAGTTCTCAACTAGTAGCTTCTAAACAGAAACCTACTTTTTGTTTTATTTCCCTTTTTTGTATCTTTACATTCTCTACACTGTCATTCTTTTGAATGAATAAATGAGCAGCAAATGCCAAGTCAGTTTATTCCATTTTCACACCAGGGTCTCTTCTTTTGCATTACATCTTATTCCTCCAATGTTTTGTTACTTTATTCCCCCTTTTGAACAAGCTGCTCTTTATTTCCTTGTAAAGCCAACTAATAGTCCCCCTTTGGTTTGGTAATATTGAAAGGCAAGTTCCACACTCCCTTGTGCATTATGATCCATAGCATTAGTATCCTGTAAAGATTGCTCAACCCAGACAGGTATCTACCATTGACTTACCTTTCCTCATCTTTAGCTTTGTAGCCTTTGTTCAGAATGAAATCTCGCAAGAATTTCTCCCCCTCCTCCAGATTTGGATCAGTCCAATATCTTTTCAAAGCTTCCTGAAATGGTATGAATTATAGTTTATGAATGATTATTTGGCAAGATAATTTTAGTAAAGCACGTTGAGTTATGTGTTCTGTTCCTTACTAATTTATCCATTTGTAAATTTTACTTACTTTTGAGTCATATACATCCTTTACACAAACTTGCCAAAAATGGACTTCAACTTTTACAAGAACATCCCAAACTTTGTTCATAACAAGGGGACAAACCTCCACAAAATGCAAAAGACAAGGAACTGATTCTCTGATAAGCACGAGTGTCTCTGCACACTCGTCAAGACTTCCAGTCTAGGCGTAGCAGACAGATTTCCAGTCAAAACAAAGATGCAAAAAACATGAATTGGGAAGTAAGACTTGCTGAGAAACCAAGATGTGTCTAGGTCAATACCATCTCAGCAGTATCTTGAGCTGTCTTCTCATCATCCACTGTCTCCTTCTGTCCCTTCATCCATTGGATGTACTCCTCCTCCTCAGATTTCTGACAAACCAGTTGATAATTTTCGCTTGTTATGGGCTTTGAAGATGTCAAGGGTTTATTTCCAACATAAGATATATCTATTTGAAAAACATGCAATTTTTCCACAGTTATGAAAGTAGGGCTGAGTCAGTTCCAATAATTCACTATTCAAATATTTGACCTTCAATTCGATCGAATGTCCGAGTATTCTGTCCTACCGACCAGCAGATTGTTGATGAACAATCCCTATACAAAATCAGTTGCAATAATGCACAAAACTGTACATTTTAATCACTGTAATAGCTTCTCACGTCTGGGAGTATCTCCAGCCATGATTTAGCAAGATTTAGAGATGAACAATACTTCTTGTCCATTAAAACTTTGTAATGAATAAATTAATTTTGAATCATTTTAAGATTTCTCTCACTTTTCATTTGAGTCTGCTTGAAACAAGCCTCAACAGTGTAATGTTTCTCATTTAAAACAACAGAAAATTATTTCGGAAAATAATATTCGATACTCAATTGAATATCCGGATATTCGGCACAGTCTAAGATAAAAGATTGAAGAGCTTTAGCATTGCACCATTTGTCCTTAAACTTCTGTTTCACAATGTGGACTCATTTGTGTTTAGCTATCTTAAAGCTGTAGAAACTGACTGCAAGGAGCTGACAGAGCGTTGGATTCTGAAAGGTATCAAAATGGCACTGATCCCATGTTGGAAATAAACTCATCATTTGCAGATACAAAATCAAATCCTTGGTATGATAGCCATTTAACTTCTACATTATATGAAAACAACCCTAATGTTTCAAGTGAGAAGGCATTTCATGTACTGGAAGTAATAAGGCCATTGGCAATGGATTTAGCAACAATTAAGCAGTTTTTATAATATGAATGAGCTATTGCTGGTCATAGTGAGGTAATTCAGATACAGCCTAGTTGTGACAAAATGCATTGCTCAGGGACACACAAGCCTTTCCTTACCTTTTCTTTGGCCGTTTTCTGTCTCTTTTTCAAGAGAGTATCGTCATCACTTTCGTCAGTGCTCTGCAGGGCTTTTTGAAAACTGCAAGAACAGACACATTTTAAGGAATACACTGTACACATAGGTGTTTCAATGCCTTGCATCAAGAACCAGTCTCAGCCTTAGACTTTTTGTGTGACTGTGCAGAGGAGAGATGTCAATGCTGATACATAATACAATGCTTAGCACTTCATCTCCATAATTTTTACGGTGCTGTGAACTTCGAACAAAAAACACAAGTTCACTCACGAATTTCAAATTTCCATCTCAACCTTGTTTAACCTTATTACCCAGAATGCCTATCACTAATAATTGGTTCATGAACACAAGTTTCTCTTAAGCCAACTATTCACTGCTAGGCTCAATGTGGATCAATGGATTCATTGCTAAAGAGCAATTAAATTTTAATGGAACCTATACTCATCTAATTTTTCTCTCTAGTACACTGGTACTATTCAAATTCCCAGTAACCCACGGTCAACCCAGCTACACCAAATTCATTTTACTGATAAGCAGCAAAGCATACCCATCTCAGCCCAGTTGAACCCAATTCATATGCTGATTTAAACAGCAAAGCATACCCATCTCAACCGAGAATGAACCCAGGCAAGTTACCTGTCTTTGATCATTTCTTGCTCCTGGACATAAGTAGGTGATGCTGCCCTTCCAAACTGCTCTTCATTCTCCTCATCATCTTCTTCCTCATCGCTATAGCGACCTCCTTTCTCTGTGATGATCTTCCGCTCATAGTCCTTGAGGAAGACAGGTTTTTCTTCCTTGGCTTTCTTGCCCTGTTTTTTCTTCTTTTTAGGTGGGGCATCTTCATTGGAGCTTTCCTCATACGACGATTCTGCAAGAAACACAAAACTTACTTCTTAGACTTTTCTTTGACATTTGGTTCCTATCACCAAAGAGGCAAAGAATTGCTATGATAACGGACTGAGTAGAAATCAAAATTCAGGTTTCCATTCTAACTGAATTCAGATTCTTTTACCGAAGTGTAAATGTGCTTTTGAAGGTACACCTGCATGAACAGTCTCATAATCTGCACAAATTTTTATTACATATCAAACTCTCTATTCTATGAACTCTGCCATGACAAACATTTTTCAAAGCAGTTCTGAAGTCTATAAACCTTTATCATGATAGAACTTTGCATCCTTGTCATAGATCCTTGGATCCCTGCTCTTCACATAGGACAGCGTCTTCAGGAAATCCTTCTCAATTTGGGCTGTAAGACCCTGAAAACAAAATAAAGAGACACTGATGTAAGTGAAGATTCTTAACTGAACAATATTTCTCAAAAAAAAATGGTTTACATGTATGATCTGATCTCAAAACATACATGGGTTACCCTCCATCATATCTGGCTTTTATCTAATAAAAAATTGGCAATGATTTAGGCCACTACTGT